TCAGACATCATATGCAGCAGAATTTTCACTGATATATCACCTAAGGCAATAGAAACAAAAGAGAAAACACATGGGACTAAATCAAACTAAAAAGCTTCTGCACAGCAAAAGAAACAACCATCAAAGCGGAAAGGAATCCCACTATATGGGAGACCATAATCGCCAATGATGCATCAGATATGGGGTTAATTTCTAAAATATATAGAGTGCTCATACAACTCAACAAAAGAAAGACAAAAAAAAATCAATTAATAAATGGGCAGAGGACCTAAATAGACACCTCTCCAAAAAGGACATAGAAATGACCAAGAAACATATGAAGAAATGCTCAACATCACTAATCATCAAAGAGATGTAAATTAAAATAACTATGAGGTATCACCTCACACCTGTCAGAATGGCCGCCATCAACAAATCATCAAACAAGTGTTGGTGAGGGTGTGGAGAAAAGGGGACTCTAGTACACTGCAGGTGGGAATGCAGACTGGTGCAGCCACTATGGAAAACACTGTAGTGTTACCTCAAAAAGTTAAAAATTGAATTGCCATTTGACCCAGTGATCCCACTTTTAGGGATATACCCTGAGACGCCTGAAACACCAATCAGAAAGAATATATGTACCCCTATGTTCATAGCAGCAGCATATACATTAACCAAGATCTGAAAACAATCCAAGTGTCCATCTGTAGATGACTGGATTAAAAAGCTGTGGTACATATACACAATGGAATACTATGCAGCTATAAGAAAGAAAGATCTCTTATCCTTTGAGATAGCATGGAAGGACCTGGAGAGTATTATGCTAACTGAAGCAAGCCAAGCAGAGAAAGACAAATATCACATGATCTCACTTATATGTGGAATGTAATTAACTAAATAAACTAATGAACAAAATTAACCCAGAGACATAAAGGTGGGGTACAGACTGATAAGCCTCAGAGGAGGGGGTGGTTTGTGGGGGAAGAAATAAAGCACAGAACTTACATGCATGTATGCATGACCAATGAACAAAGACAACAAAGCTGGGGATGGGGTAGTGGGAAGGGGAGGAGGGTGTCAATGGGGGAAAAAGGAGAATCATCTGTAACAAAAACAAATTATAAAAAAGAAAAAGAAAGTGGAGGTAGCCATACTAATGTCCGATAATATAGACTTTAAGTCTAAAACAGTAACAAGAGACAAAGAATCATTATATAATGATAAAGGGATCAATACACCAAGAAAATATAACAATCATAAATATGTATATGCACCCAAAATTGGAATAGATATAGATTAGATAGATGACAGATGATAGATGATAGATAGATGATAGATAGATGATAGATAGATAGATAGATAGATAGATAGATAGATAGATAGATAGATGATATAGAGATAGAGATGATAGAGATAGAGATAGAAATGATAGAGATAGATATATATATATAGAGAGAGAGAGAGAGATAGACATAGACATAGACATAGACATAGACATAGAAACAAATACTAGCAGATATGGAGGGGAAAAGAGACAAGACAATAATATTAGGGGATTTCAATACACCACTATCAACAATGGATAGATTATCCAGACACATATTCAACAAGTGTGAATTGAACTAAGAGGACTGAACAAACATATTAAAACTTCCTTCAAACAACAGCAGAATACACATTCTTCTCAAATGTACATAGAAAATTCTCCAAGAGAGATTGTATGCTAGGATACAAAAGATATCTTAACAAATTTAAGAAAATTAAAATACACCAAATATTTGTTTACCTGAATGGTGTGAAACTAGATATCAACAAGAGGAAAGCAGAAAAATCTACAAATATGTGGACACTAAATAACACACTGCTAAACACCCAATGAGTCAAAGAAAAAAATCAGAAGAAAAAAAATTATCTTGAAAGAAATGAAAATAGAAATACAACATATCAAAACGTATGGAATGCAGCAATTCTGAGAGGAATGTTTAGTGAAAATTGCTTTTATGAAAAAATTAGAAAGATCTTAAGTAAACAACCTAACTACACCACAAGAAACTAAAAAGAGTAAACCAAGTTATGTCCAAAGTTAGAACACAAATGAATCAGAGTTGAAATAAATGAGAGAGACAGAAAACACAATAGATGAGGTCAACAAAACTAAGAGGTAGGTTTATTAAAAGATAAAAATATTGACAAATCATCCTGACTGGTTTGCTCAGTGGTTAGAGCGTCATCCCATGGACCCAAGGGTTGCAAGTTTCATTCCCAGTCAAGCATATAATCTGGGTTGGAGGTTTGATCCCCGGCCTGGTCAGAGTGCAGGTGGGAGGCAACAAATTGATATGTCTCTCTCACATTGAGGTTTCTCTCTCCCCCTCCTTTCTTCTCTATCTAATAATCAATGGAAAAAAAATATCCTCAGGTGAGGATTAAATACACACACACACACACACACACACACACACACACACTTTTAGCTAGATGAAGGCAAAAAACAAAGAAGACCCCCCTAAAAAAAGAAAACTAGAGGTGAAAGAGGAGACATTGCAATTCATACTACAGAAATATATAGGACAATTATATGCCAAAAAATTAGATAACTTAAAAGAAATAAAAAATTCTCAGAAACATAAAACCTACCAAGACTGAATCAGGAAGAAATAGGAAATCTGAATAGATGAATAATGAGTAAAAAGATTGAATCAGTAATCTAAAACCTCCCAATACAGAAAATTTCAGAAGCAGATGATGTCACCGGTAACTTCTATCCAACATTAATGCCAGTTCCTCACAAACTCTTCCAAAAATTTGAAAAGTGAACACTTTCAAACTCATTCTATGAAGCCAGCATGACAAAGCCAGATCAGGACACTACAAGAATAGAAAAAAGTAGACCAATATCCCTGATGAATAAGATGTAAAAATTTTAAATAAGATATTAGCAAACTGAATGAAAGAACACATTAAAATGGTTATACAACATGACCAAGTAAGATTTATCCATGGGATGCAAAGCTGATTTAACATACACAATTCAATAAATGTGATGCATCACTTTAGAGAATAAACAATCATATGATCATCTCAATAGATGCAGAAAAAGCACTTGACAAATTACAACATACTTTCATTATATATATATATTTTTTTTTTAAAAAAGCAGGACACTTTGAGAATACAAAGAAATATACCTGAACATAATAAAGGTCATATGCGACATACCCCACAGCTAAGATTATAGGCAAAAGAGACTATTGGAAGCTTTGCTTCAAGATCAGGAACAAGACAATAATGTCCACTCTCACCACTCTTATTCAATTGTGGTGAAAGTCCTAGAAAGAGCAATTATGCAAGACAAAGAAGTAAAAGAAACCCAAATCAGAAAGGAAGAAGTAACATTGTCACTATATGGAGATTATATGATTTTGTATATAGAAAATCTCAAAGATTCAGCTAAATAAACTGTTAAAACTAATCAAAAATTTCAGGATTTAAAATCAATATACAGAAATCAGTTGCATTTCTACATACTAATAATGAAACATATAAAAAAATAAAGAAAACCTTCACAATAGCATCAAAAAAAACAATAAAATACCCAGGCATAATTTCACCAAGGATATGAAAGATCTGTACAATGAAACCTATAAGACTTTTCTGAAAGAAATCAAAGAAGACACAAACAAATGGAAAGACATCTCACATTCACAGAATAGAAGAATTCATGTTGTTAAAATGTTCATCTATAAATTTTACACAATCCCCATAAAAATACCAATGACATTTTGAAGAAATAGAAAAAACAGTCCTAAAATTTGTACAGAACCACAAAAGAACCTGAAGAAATAAAGCAATTCAGAGGAAAAAGAACAAAGCCACGGTAATAGATTTACTGGCTTCAAACTATACTACAAGCTATAATAATCAAAATACTATGGTACTGACATAAAAACAGACACACAGACCAATGGAACAGAATAAGAACCCAAATTAACTCTCCATAGATATGGCCAACTAACACTAAAGAAGGGAGCCAAAACACACAAAGGGAAAAGGATAATCTCTTCAGCAAGAGGTGCTAGGGAAACAGAATAAATACATTCAGAACAATGAAGTTGAACCCCTGTCTTAAACCACTCACAAAAATTAACTCAAAATGGATCAAAGACTTAAACATAAGACCTGATACCAAAAATCTCCTAGAAGAAAATGTTGGGGAGCAGCTCCTTAACATTGGTCTTGGCCATTGGTTTTCTGGATATGACATCAAAGCACAAACAATAAAAGCAAAAACAGGTAAGTGGGACTACATCAAACAAAAACTTCTGCACAGCAAAAGAAACAAAATGAAAAGACAGTCTATGGAATGGGAGAACATTTTTACAAACTAATTTCAGATAAAAGTTAATATTGATCTCACTCATATGTAGAATTTAATGAACAAACTGCACTACCAAGAAAAATAGAGACAGACTCATAGATAAAGAGCATGCAGACCGTTCTGCAGGGAGGGGAGCGTTGAGGGACATGGAGGGATTGAGCGAAAAGAGAGAGAACACGTGGACATGGACAACAGTATGGTGGTTGCAGGGGGCAGAGAGGTAAGGAGGAAGACGGCATAAAAGGGATAAATGGTGATGTAAAAAATAAAATGAATAGAATAGAATAAAATTAAATAAAAACAACTCAATAACAAAAAATCCAATTAAAAAATAGGCAGAGGAACTGAAGAAAATTTTTCCAAAGACATTCAAGTGGAAGCAGGTACATGAAAAGATACTCAACATCACGAATCATCAGGGAAATGCAAATCAAACCACAGTGAAGTAGCACCTCACACAGGTTAGAATGGCTATTATCAAGAACACAGAGATAAGTGTTGAAGAGGATGTGCAGAAAAGGGGAGCCCTTGCACACTGTTGGTGGGAATGTAAATTGTTTCAGCCACTATGGAAAACAATATTGAGTTTCCTCAGAAATTAAAAATAGAGCTAAAAGAATCTTCACAACCTGGACCCAGCAAAATGACTCCCACCAGGAAGGGTGGCAAGAAGGACTGTTCCGGCATCAACAAGGCAGTGACCAGAGAACACACCAACATTCACCAGCTCATCTACAGAGTGGGTTTCAAGAAGCGCGCCCCGTGGGAACTCAAAGAGATCTGGAAATTTGCCATGAAGGAGATGGGGACTCCAGATGTGTGCATTGACACCAGGCTCAACAAAGCTGTCTTAGCCAAAGAAATGCCCCTTACATGTCTGCGTCAGTTGTCCAGAACACGTTATTAGGATGAAGATTCACCCAACAAGCTCCACATGTTGGTTACCTAAGTACCTGTCACCACTTTCAAAAATCTACAGTTAATGCTGATTATCGAATGAAGTTATAAAACTGCAGAAAAAAAAAAAAGTAGATTCTCCAAATGACACAGAAATTTCATTCTCAGTGTATACCAAAGAAAATGAAAATAGGATATTAAAAACATGTATGCACTCCCTTGCTTATTACAGCATTATTCATAATAGCCAAACTATGGAGACACCTAATCCATATTAATGGATGAATGGATCAGATATGGCATATATATATACATACACACACACACACACACACACACACAATGGAATATTATTCAGCCATGAGAAAGGAGGACACCTGCAATTTACAACTTAAATGAACCTTGAGCACGTTATGCTAAGTGAACGAGTCAGACAGAGGAAGATGAGCACTGTATGGTATCATTTACATGTGGAATATAAAAATATATTCTGTGTCAAACATAAAAAAAAAGAAACTAAAATGGTGGTTCCAGAGGTTTGGGGGTATGAGATAGGACAGATACTGTTCAATGGTACAGACCTGTACTGAGTTGTAAACAAACCCTGGAGGTTTAATGCACAGTATAGTAAATATAGACAACAATATTATATTATAATTATCAAATTTGCTAAGAGATTAAAACATATAATTCCAACCACAAAAAAGAAAGGATCATTATGTAACCTGATAGAGGTGCTAATTATCCCTACACTGACAATCATGTTTGAGATGTACATGTATCAAGTTAACATGCCGTACACCTTAAATTTGCAAATATATTTCAATAAAAATTTTAAGTAAAGCACATAATCACAAATTCTTTTTAAACTACAAAAGGCTAAGAGAAGTGGAAGTTTCCCACACTTAAATAAATGGAATTTCGTTGCATGACATGAGATTCCACCCGGTGGGGAGGCTTGGGGACTGGAGAAGAAAGGAAAGCCCACTGAAATACCTACTGATGTGTTTGTCTTTGTCTCTTTCAGTTGACCGTTCTGGGAAAATTAGTAAGTTGGAGCATTCCTTTACCTTACCTATTTCTGTATCTAGGACCTTTGAATTTTTGTTTCCCAATTTTTTTGTATTCCACATTCTGCTACCTTTGTCAATATTTCTTAAATAATATTCTCATGTTTTGAGTCTTTCTTATCTACTTTCCTTTTATAACAAAATATAATACTCTTGTATTTGATTCGGGTATTTACTACCAAAGAAGATTGGTGGCACATATTCCCTTCAAGTCTGCCAACAAGACAGCATGTTTTCTTGTGCTATAATCTGGCAATGAATAATTTTTACTAAAAAAAATGTGAAGAATAGGTGTCGGGACAAAATAACGATTTTGCTCACTCACAGCCACACATATTTTCAAACTGATCTGAAGGATAATGAATTAAAAAAAAAAAAAGACTTGTGAAAAAGCAATGAAAGAAGGAAATTGCAATAGGAAAGTAGAAAATTGGTAAAATAGATGTTACTTATTCAAGGATTCAGTCCCCCACTCTAACTAAGTGGCGGCATCCTAAGGATCACTTCCCTGTGGAGCAGGCGGTAGGGCTTGGGCCAGCAGCATTCCTGAGGCTAACATGGGGGGTTTACACTCCCTGGTGCTCCTGTTCCTGCATTCACATGTACAGGGTATCACTGGGAGCTGGGTTCTACCTGAGTTAGAAAATTCCCACTGATCTTTCTTTTGTGTTTTATTTTTAGCATTATCTCCTATGGGTAAGTTTCTTATCTAATCTCAAGTGATATTTTATATTGTTTATAGTTATTTTCTGGCCTGGCTATTTCTGCTTTCACAAGAGATAACTTGTGCTTGTAAGGTCATTTTAAATATCCTTATTCTCCAGAATCAGCAATACTGTAATTATGTGGGGGTGATTGTTGTAGAGGAGATGAAGTTCATACAAAAGAGTGCCACAATCTCTGGCCATCTCCTGGGCTCTGAGAGGGTCTCCTCACCAGCTCCCAGCAAAATACAATGAAAGAAAGACTGGTTTCTGAATTCCATTAGTTCCTTGCTGGTATTGTAAAACTTTTTCTTATAAGTAAAGGCCTACTGTATCATATTAATAGAAAAAAAATAGTTAAGAACAAAATCTTATCTACTTTCTGTTGCCTCTAAATAACTTGACCTTTGAGGGACAGCAGGTATTGAACACCTGTTATATACTGTGCACTGTGCTAGGCATTTTCAAAAACAGTACCTCTTATTCCCGCAATAGCCCTGCCTGGTACCTATTATTATCCCCCACTTTACAGATCAGAAAACTGGCTCAGACATTTACCCAAGTTTAAAGAGTTGGTAAATAGCAGTGTCCGATGTAAACATAGGACTTCCTGTCTCTGAGGTAAACACACCTTCCACCCCAACATATTGCATCCTCAAATCACAAATTCTGTTTTTGTGATTACTCCTGAAACTTTACCTATAAATCAAATATTTATAAATACAAATATCCATCTACTAGAGAAGCTGTAAATTAAATGTACACAAAGATTAAAAATAAAAGACATTTAAATTGATGTCTGGCTTTTTAATTCAAATTTCTTTATATCAGGATTATTTAATGCATGGCTCAGCTCTTCAAGAAAATGATATGAAACAAAAGAAAGTAAAAAATTTTAAATTCTGTAAACAGATAATCATAAGAAGCAAGTAAGATATAATGTAGTGAAATACACTTCAAGCATCTCAAACATTCTAACCACTAAGAAACACAAAATATGCTATATATTTAATCATGTTTAAGCCTCACTCTTCTTTCTCAGTGTCCATTGTAATGAGGATTGGTTTATGATTGGGAGAGAGGGAGTGAAGTTGGAAGAGACCTGCATTCACAATGTATCTGCTCCCTCAAGTGCCCTGCCCACGTGGGGAAGGTGATGAGACTGCATTTTCCTTAAAAAGAAAGAGGGCTATGAGAAGGGTTCATAGGCCAATTCCCTTCCTGGAGGTAAATTAGTTTTTAATAAATACCTTTTCTTTAATTTCCAGAAAAACAATCAGTTTAACCTTTTAATTTTTTTTGCTTTAAAAGATATATTCTGATTGATTATATTTCAAACATAATCTTCCCAGTTAATATTTTTAGTGAAAAAAAAGGTCAAGGTTTAATTTATTTGTTCAAAGAAAGATTTATGACAGATCAACCCATCAGACTTCATTATCTCTCAAGTTGAGTCCCTTATTTTATCACCTCCATATTCAATTAATAAGTACATGATCTTTTTAAATGTTGACTCATGGCCTGAGAACTATAACGATTCATGTCCCGAATGCTTGAGAGATCTGGGGCCGTCTGGACCTGACTGTGCTCTCCCTGGCAGCCACGAGATTAAGAACCAAATAAGTTTAGTTTCCTAATAAAGCCCATGGTCTATTTTCTACACAGTACAATGATTGCCAAGGTCTTGATTAAATCTTTCAGTCTTATTAGAGTTTTGTTGTATAAGCTATCACCTGCAGTAAATGGACATTTAGTCAGGATTTACAAAGATTTATATTATGAAACTTTTGAATTCCAAAGGAAAAAATGATTTATTCACATCTGGATAAAAATCTCAAAGAAGGGAGAGAGGCTCTAACTTAGAATTTGGTGGAATAACGATCTGTGCCTTACTTCTTAAATGCAAAGTTGAAATAAAAGTGAACTTCACTTTGTGGGATAGCTAGACTCCTAAAAAATAAATAAATCCAAGTCAATCTAATTTCTGTTAATTAAGTTCAAGATAGAAATCATAGAGCAAAATATTAAAACATTCAAGGGTATTAAGATACTATTAGATAGAGGTCAGTGTAGTGGGAAAAATAATAAAATTCTTTATAAATTCTATAAAATTAGAAAAAATATAGCTAAAATAAACACTGTTTCATTAAATTCTAGAATACTTCATTTTGATTGACAGAATCTATACTATTTAGGAGGTAAATTTAGGTTAAAAATGGGTCATGTAGTAATATACACAGTAGTAAATAAACATGAAACAAATTACCCCCCAGGAGATGGTACAACTAACAATGATTCATATATTAAGAAAAATCATTTTGTTTAGAAGTACCTTCCATGGAATTCATAAACTTAGAAGCTTCAGTGGAAGAACACACCACTTTTCACTCCACACTATACCACAAACTGAATAAGTGCCCACTGGTGGTACTGACAGATATCAAGATATCCTGGGCTGTTTTTCTCAGTACATAAATGCTTAGGCTATATTACCACTGATTTTCATTAGAGAATTTGAAATGAGTTTGTCTAGAATAAAATGTCAGTTCTCATATCTTACTGAACAAGCACTATTGAGGAAAATATACCAAAAGGTTCAGAAAGTACTAATGCAGCATTTCTAAGGTAATTTTTATTTTGTTGTCAACAATTTTAAATATCAAACAGAAAACACTGAACTGCAACACCCATTTTGACTCATAGTTACCTTCTTATTTAATACAGGTGTGTCTCACTTTACTACTGGTCAAATATAGTTATGTGTATGTCAATTTTTCAAACAATAAACTCTAAATTCAAAAAGCTTTTAATATTTAAAAAGTCAAATAATTAATTATTATGCAAAAAGTCTTCCTGTAATTCAATAAACCATTCCTCTAAATTATTTGGTTGGAACTAAGAATAATTTGTCTCGATAGTTCAGAGAGAGTTCTTGCACACACTATGTCATGTGGTGTAGTAATAGCCAATATTTATTGACTACTTACTATGTTCCATGTGGTGTACTGAGTGCTTTACTTAGATGATAATATTTAATCCTCATAACACTTTGGTGAAGTAGCTACTACTATTGCTCCCATTTTACATATAAGAAAGTAGTGTTTGTCCAAGTTCACCCAGCTAGTTAGGTGTGGAGCTAAGATTTGAACTAGTCTTACTCTTTAAACTATCTGTCTAGAATAGTTAAATAACTCCACAAAATGGGCAGAGCAGACTAAACATGAGGTGTGAGTCTTTGGGGATTAATTGATTTACCCAAATAAACCCTGCTGGCAGGAATACTAAACCCAGGTGTTCTGATTCATCTTTTAAATTCAATATTCTTTCTACTATATTAATATTCAATGTTAAAATTTTATTTTCAAAGCAAACATACCTCTGCTCCATAGCACGAATCCACACAATTCTCCTTAGTAGCACAGATATTCTTTAATTACTTAATTCAGAGAATCAAATCACTAAAAATAATAATAAAATAAAATTTTAAAAATAGCTGAAGCTAGCTAACAAATTCAAATGTTTTAGGTAACACATAAATAACACATAGCAGAGCTGATTTACCTATACATAATAAAAAGGACCTGAACCTTTTACAAAGTGAGTTAGCAGATACTACAAGAAACACTCTACTGGTAGTGGTTACATCTGAACTCTGGAGTTTAACTACTCAGGTTCAAATCCTAGCTTCACCACTGCTAAGTTCATGACCAAATTCACATTTATTTAAACTTTCTGTGCCTCAGTTTCTTCATCTGTAAAATGGGGGTAATAATAGTACTTACCCTATAAGGTCATTGTGAGGATTAAATGAATACGTATAAAGTGTTCAGAGCAATGAGTGCCTTGTGTGTAGCAAGCACTTAATAAATATCAGCTAGCATTATTATTACCTTTACCTAATAAGATGCGCTTTTATTTGATATTGAAAGCATATTTGGGTTTTCTGTTATAAGAAACAATATTACTTATTTTCACAATTGTTTCTAAAAATAAATTCTACTTTTCAGAATACATCCTTCTCTAGCTATTAAGCATTATTTGTCAGCCATAATACACTGAACAAATGTCAGCTCATTTATACTACATTGTACCGTTTCTTTTATTAATCTCCCAATTTATTGAAAAGAGTCAGGAATTTTATCCATATTTAATATAATTTTATGTGTAGTATTCCACCATTTCATATTTTCAGGAAAAACTCAAGTTATCTTCAGTCTGTCAGTTTTAAGACCAAAAAAAGAAAAGAAAGATACCAATATCAGGGGGGAAAGTAGGAATAAAGAAAAAGTACTTATCTGAACCGTGCACTTTTGTTGTGTGCTCAGTTATATTTCCAGGTTACATGGATGGAGATCTTGCAAAACAATCAGACCCCAGAGCCCCGATTCTAAAAAGTGGAGGCACTACAAAGTCTAAGAGTAGCGACGAAGAAAACAAGGAAGCACTAAAGAAGGAAATCTCATTCGTAGATTCTGATAAGTCCTTAAAACACAAAAAAAAGTCAGAAAGCAGAGCAAAAGACATTGAGTTGGAGAAAGAGGAGATAGGAATGGAGGCCAAGGTGAAGAAGAGTAAGGACCAAATACCAAAAGAACCAAACATAAAAGTAAAGAAGAGTGTGTCCAAAACACCACAAGAACAAGAATCTCAGGTAGAGGAGAGTGAGGACAAAAAACCAAAAGGACCCAAAAAAAAAGTAAAGGAGAGTGAAGACAAAACACCACAAGAACAAGAATCTCAGGTAGAGGAGAGTGAGGACAAAAAACCAAAAGGACCCAAAAAAAAAGTAAAGGAGAGTGAAGACAAAACACCACAAGAACAAGAATCTCAGGTAGAGGAGAGTGAGGACAAAAAACCGAAAGGACCCAAAAAAAAAGTAAAGGAGAGTGAAGACAAAACACCACAAGACCAAGAATCTCAGGTAGAGAAGGGTGAGGACAAAAAACCAAAAGGACCAAAAAAAACAGTAAAGAAGGAGTCTGAGATATCACAAGGGAAAGAATCTCAGGTAGAGGGTGAGGCCAAACCACCAAAAGAACCAAAGAAAACAGTCAAGAAGAAGGAGTCTGAGACACCACAAGGGAAAGAATCTCAGGTAGAGGGTGAGGCCAAACCACCAAAAGAACCAAAGAAAACAGTCAAGAAGAAGGAGTCTGAGACACCACAAGGGCAAGAATCTCAGGTAGAAGGTGAGGCCAAACCACCAAAAGAACCAAAGAAAACAGTCAAGAAGAAGGAGTCTGAGACACCACAAGGGCAAGAATCTCAAGTAAAAGGGGAGAAATCTGAAGCTAAAGGAAAACAGAAGAAAGCAAAGGAAGCTGCCGAAAAGGATACAGATACAAAAGAAAAGGATGCCCAAAACAAGCAAGACAGTGAAGGAAAGGACAAAGTTAAAGGAAAGAAAGAACCACCAGCCAAGGGTAAAAAAGCAGAAGAAGGTAAAAAAGCTGAAGCGGGTAAAAAAGCAGAAGCAAAAAAGGGCAAAGACAAGTAAAGGAAAGAAGTTCAACAAAAAGAGGAAGAGTGAAAAGAAAGGAAAGGAAGGCCCGTAAGACAACTGACTTAATGGTTCCCACCTCCAGATCCAAGTCAAATCCCAGCCACTGCTTAAGTGGCTTGTAATTATAGACTTTAATCTATACATCTGCAGAGTTTCTGCTCTTTGGAAGTTTTACCATTTTTAGACCTCTCAACCACAAACTCAGTTTCCAGCTGTTTTATAAGTTGATGCTTACATTACTTAGTCAAGACTGAATACTTTCTGAAATAAAACACTTTTATTAAATAAATGTATAATAATTTTTTGACAAATATTCTCTCTCTGTGAATACCTAACCAACCAACCAACAAATTTTCATGGTGGGCCTAATGTTTGCAAGGCACTGTTCTGGCAATAATGGTATATAGAAAAAATGTAAGTCAGAGTCCCTGCAATCAAATAACATGTAACATATATAGTGGCATAATCTGGGAATTTTTGAAAAAATAAAATTGAAGTGTCAAAGTGTAGTTAAGATGGACAATACAATCAAAGTTAGCAACCTCTAGGAATAAGAAGGTAAAGGGGATATCTTCATGGGGAAGGGAATGATGGTTATGTGCCATGTCTCAAAAGATCAATAGGGGGAAAGGAGAAACATCTGTAACAAAAACAAATTTAAAAAAAATTTTAAAGATCAATAAGATGTTACTATGCGGATGAAAGAGCAGAGGGGAAAAGGCAGAGGACTGCAGACGGCTGTGCCCTGTGGGGAGAAGGCAGCTGAATCATTGCAGCAGGTTCATGAGAACTATTCGGGGTATAATTTTGAAAAGGAAGGTAAAAGAAGATTCTGAACAGATGTGAAACACAAACCTGAAATTTGTATTATACTCATCAGGAAAATGGATGCTTTCTGGGGTACTTGTGAAGGAGAGTCAAATGAATAAGTTTGCATTATTAAAATGTTAATTTTGTGATCGTGCAAAATACATTGGAAAGGAAAAATATCCTAGGTAGTAAATCTAGTTAAGAGGTACTTAGAATAATACGTGATGGAAAAAATAAATAGAAGGATTAGATATGAGATATTTTTTCAATAAGGATTCATTACTCCATGATGACTGCCTACATATAAGTAAGGGAAAGAAAAATATTGATGACTCCATTATTCTTTGAAACTGGGTGACAGAAAATCAGTATCAGACTAAGAGCTAGTTTATGGAACAGGGAGGGAACAACAAATTGTTGAGTTTGAATGGACAAACAATAGCACATCATTTGAGAGAGAGTCAGTCCAACGGAGGTAGCAGTTGAAGGCGTAAGAGTAAGCAAGCTCCCAGGAGCAAGTACAGAGCTAGCAGAAGCAGAGCTAGTGCAGGTGCAAGAACTAAGCCTGCAACATGTGATAGGTTGGAGAAGAAAACTGACTAAGATAGGAAGATGTAAGGAAAACCTGCACAATGAGTGAGTTTCAAAAAGAAAGGATGATTACAAGATAGCTGAGACTTCAAGGAGAATAAGGTCTGAGAGACCATGACAGTGGCTATTTGTAGATAGCTGATGAACTTGTAAGGAGCACTTTTCAAAGAGAGGTGGTGAAGAGAAGAATTGAAGCAGGCAGAAAATAGAAACACAGGCAAGTAGTTGCAGAAAGTGTCTTCCGATAAAGTCCATTTTAGTCTGCTTTAAAAGCAAGGTTTTCAGGAATTTTATTTTTATACTACTCATTCTGTGCTGGTTAACCCATACTCTGAATATTACATTCAATCTTGTCACGGATGTGGATAAACCAGAGTACCTTCAGAAGAGACAGATTACGATGGTAAGGGGAACCAAATCATTTCAAGAGAGTAGGAAGTTCCACAGCTTCACCTGGGGGAGAAAAACATACAGGAGACAAGAATTATTTTCAAATATATGAAGGTTCATCATGAATTAGAATATTTTGTATGGCCCCAAGGAAATAACACCAGTGAATGAAAGGTTCAAGGTAACAGCTTCTGTCTCCGCGTAAGGGGAAGCGGGACGCCTGACAGAAGTTAAGACTGCGGGTCTTTGTCGGGTATGTTGCAGAAGAAGTTCTTAGGAATCAGCTGAGTTGTTGGAATAGATCATTTTATGAGTCTGTAATTCAGAGTATAAAATTATTTGAACTAATCAGATGTCTTCCAAGGAACCTTTTCAAACTAATCTAGTATGCTAGAATTCTTTAGAGAGGTTTGACCAAAGAGAGAGGGTGGGGAGTGAGGCCATATTTTAGCACCTGCCCAAAGTATAATACGTTTCATAAATGGCTCATTCTACCTACAAGCTGAAGAGAGCAGCTGCACAGCTTCTAGCACAATTCAAACCACTGTGTGCTCCGGCCCAACCACAGTACAAAAGCCTAAATTAATTTTAGAAGTCACAAAACCCTGAGGCTTTCGATGAACCACATAGATTTAGCAAGATTGAATTGCAAAAAAGGAGGGGCCGGGAAGAAATATGGAACATGACATTTTTATATTGTAAATTACTTCTATGCCCCTGGAACATACAATTTAGAGATTTTACCAGTCTCAGTTGACTTATCATTTGTATATATTATTCTATTATCAGGGGGGAATGTGACCAGAAGGCTTTTAATATAGTTTAAAAACATTCAGGTTTCCATGACCCTTCTGTCATTGTTCCAGAGCTCTCTCTGGCTCACTGGCAGCTGGCTCGTAGGCTTCAGAAGGCTATGAGAAATGCAGCTTCTCAGATTTCTGCTAAGAAGCAGAGACCCTGTCAAGGCAACACAGTAAACAGACTTGAGCAATCCGGCTCAGGTGACTCCATATCGGAATGTATATCCCACTGAACCAAGGATTCAGAAGGGATGAGCCCCGAGACGCCGCCCTGTGTGTTCTCTGTAATGGCTAGCTCACAGTGGAAACATTTCCATTCCCACTAGGTCACTGAAGGCGAGTTAAGTCATACAGTAGGAAACTCCAACTGTGACAACTGTGTGAACCATTCTCTAAAGGCCACCAAAACACAGGCCAGTGAAAAACAATTGTTAATCTTCAGAGATTCAGGAATGAAAATATGAAAGGACCCCAGAAAAAGGAAGAATAAAGGGAAACTGTCAAAATGACACCATGTTTAGCAAAATGATACAAATATTAGGAAAATGAATATGCATATGTACTTGCAACATAGTTTATATACAAAAGCAGAAATGTGGAACATAACAGAAAACCAACAGCAGTCAATTTTATTTTACAGAAAAGCTAACACAAATGTCAAATGCCCTGTTCACAAGAATAAGTAGAAACATACATCAAACACCTCAAGTCTTTTACTAAGAAAGTTAAAGAGAGGGGAGGGGAGAAAATTTGTAACTATGGGAGGTGATGGATGTTAGTAAACTTGTGATAATCATTTCACAATATACACATATATCATTATATTTTGCACCTTAAACTTACACACTCTTATATGTCATATCAATAAAACTGGGGGGGGGGAATAATCAAGTCTTACACTTAAAATATATACAGTTTTCGTCAATTATACCTTAGGAAAGATGGAAAGAAAAAAAAAGGAATGAGTGGAAACCTTAAGGAAATGAAAGCAGAAAATTTTTAAACCTGAATAAGAAATACAAAGATATTGGGAAATCAATAATTTATATAAAATCGGTTAGTGTGGCTGCTATTAAAAAAATATTTTTAAATGGAAAAAAAATATATCCTAGGTTAGAATTGCATTAAAAATGTGGTTTCCACCCTGGCCGGTTTGGCTCAGCGGTTAAGAGCATCGGCCGGCGGACTGGAGAGTCCCAGGTTCGGTTCCTGCTAAGGGCATGTACCTCGGTTGCTGTTTGTCCCCAGCCCCAGTTGGGGTCGTGTGGGTGGCAACCACTTGATGTGTCTCTCTCACATTGATGTTTCTCTCTCTCTCTTCCTCCCTCTCTCTCTCCTGCTCTATCTGAAGATAAATGAAAAAAACAAAAAACAAAAAAAGTCCTTGGGTGAGAATTTTTTTAAAATGTGGTTTTCCGTTGCCTCCAAATCTCTCTCACCCAGGTTATAACTGGTGGATCTAAGAAGTGAATGCAGGGAGCTGGTAAAGGGGAGAAGTATATATTTTAAAAATAGGATCCAAAGAGAAAAAATGATAAATTGAAATATCGATTAGAATATGCAGTTTTATATTTAAGAAAATTCCATTACTCTCCCTCTTTAAAACAGTTAAGAATAGGAAGAACGACTATATCTCTACTCTGTAGATGGAAGGTTCCAACTAGGTTTTGAAGAAATATAAGCCTATTTTTCTAGTGTTTAAGGAGTAAAGATACTTTTATCCATCATTGTCCAGAAATGTGAGCATCTGCCAAGACTGGGAAGTAAAACCTAAGGATGCCACACTACAGATTATACCTTTTGTAACACGGGTCTTTAAAACATTATATTTAAATCTTTATTAAATTACCTTCCAAAAATTAAAAATTCACAATGTTATTGATTCACCAGTGCTAACTTCCTATGAATCTTTCGTATCTTAAACATGCATGCAACATATATGAACATATATGCAAATGAGGTCAAACTACATACATTATTCTGCAACTTGATTTTTTTCGCTTAACAATATATCATGCAAATCGCTCCAGGTGAACAGACATCACTCTAAAGCATCATTGTCCTAGTATAGACTCCAGGAGTGTGAACAAATTACTGCTTATTCATTTCCTTCAAGTCAGACATTTGACTTCTCTCCAGCTTTTTGCCATTGGCATATGGTGCAACTGCCAGATGGAGCTGTAATAAACACCTTGGCACATGATAAGAATTGTACTTGTCACCCTGGCCAGTTTGGCTCTGTGGTTAGAGAGTTGGCCCAGGGACTGAAGGGTTACAGGTTCAATTCCTGGTCAAGAGCATGTACCTGGGTTGCAGGTTCGAACACCCACCCCAGTTGGGGTCGTGCAGGAGGCAAACAATCATGTATCTCTCTCACATCAATGTTTCTCTCCCTTTCTCTCC